GAAGGGGCCTCTTTATTAAAATGTGGTCTGGAAGAAGGGGCCTCTTTATCAAAATGTGTCCTGGATGAAGGGGCCTCTTTATCAAAATGTGTCCTGGAAGAAGGGGCCTCTTTATCAAAATGTGTCCTGGAAGAAGGGGCCTCTTTATCAAAATGTGTCCTGGAAGAAGGGACCTCTTTATCAAAATTTTTCATGGAAGAAGGGGTCACCTCAATCAAAGTGTGTCCTGGAAGAAGGGGCCTCTTTATCAAGATGTGTCCTGGATGAAGGGGCCACTTTATCAAAATGTGTCCTGGATGAAGGGGCCTCTTTATCAAAATGTGTCCTGGATGAAGGGGCCTCTTTATCAAAATGTGTCCTGGAAGAAGGGGCCTCTTTATCAAAATGTGTCCTGGAAGAAGGGGCCTCTTTATCAAAGTGTGTCCTGGAAGAAGGGGTCACCTCATCAAAGTGTGTCCTAGAAGAAGGTCTCCGATAAAGTTCGTCACTGGGTCGTACTTAGGTACTGCTCTATGTAGCTCTTTATGCAGCACGCTGTGTAGCACTCAATGTAGCACTCTATGTAGCACTCTATGTAGCCAAAGGAATCGATTTGAACGTAGATGAAACTCAAATATGTTTCATTTTTAGCAATTTTTAAACATATTCTCTGCACAGACTTTCTTTGTGTCATTCACACACACATTCCCAGTCCGGCCCAGCCCCTCAATGATAGCCAATCAGTTGCTTCCAATGACACGAACCTGCTAAAATACTTCGTCTGCGCAAAGGACACAGGACACAGGACACAGGACACAGGACACGTACAACTGAATTCTTACCTTAACCACATACACCAGACAAACAAAACAATGTCCTGCCTCTGGAGACACGCGCATGAGAAAGTAGCACTCTTCCACTGCCTAGAACTTAAATTCATACGCCTTAATTGCCTACCAAAATCACCAGACTACACCAACGCCCTACATGCAAACATAGAATAGCTACAGAGAGTGTGTAAATTCTTGACCATGCCCTCGGGCAACAAGGCACATGCCCAAATCGCTACTGAATCTTGATAATGGTAAAACATTGATGGTCTATTTATGATATTTTTTAATTGTAGGAATACTATTCATTGGTTATTAATAACTGGATATCGAATTAAAGAATGTCAAACCATTGAATGTCAAACTATTGGATGTCAAACCATAGAATGTCAAACTATTGGATGTTAAACCATGGGATGTCAAACAATTAGATGTTAAACCATGGGATGTCAAACAATTAGATGTTAAACCATTGGGTTTCAAGCCAATTAGGATTTCCAATAACTGGGGTGTCTAATCATTGGATGGCTTACCTTCTGCATCCAGGGCTTGAACCAAACGCCCTTCGTGACAAAGGCGCTGGACTTGAGGGTACTTAAGATAGATGGCTTGGGCTTCTACCTTGGAGAGTGCTGGCTGTGTGCCATTGAGGTATGACTTCGCGGCATCAGTAACATTTGTGCCCTGGAAGATTAAATCAAGTTCGAATCAGAAGACCAAACCTGAAGCTAATCCTAACTATAACATAAACCATTGGGCACTGATTGAATTGATTGAATTGATTTCATAGATTACATTTACTGCATTGATTACATTTACTGCATTGATTAGATTAACTGCATTGACTGCATGGATTACATTGAACGCCTTGAACTTCTTGTTCTAAGCCTAACTCGACATGTTACGTCGCTTAAGCTCAAGTCAAAAGAAGTAACTTAGAGCTGCTATTTGAAATCGATATGAACTTACATTCCTGGAGTTCAATGTGTCAATCACTTGTTGGTAGGTCAAGGCCGTGTCTCTCAGGTAGCACGTGTTTTCAACAAGGATAACCACAACCTGGCAAGTACATGGGTCATTTAAACTAATAACAACCTGGCAAGTACATGGGTCATTTAAACTAATAACAACCTGGCAAGTACATGGGTCATTTATACTAATAACAACCTGGCAAGTACATGGGTCATTTAAACTAATAACAACCTGGCAAGTACATGGGTCATTTAAACTAATAACAACCTGGCAAGTACATGGGTCATTTAAACTAATAACAACCTGGCAAATGTGGGGATAATTTAAAGTAATAATAACCTGAGTCGTGAGCTCAGTGTTGGTTATCACTGATAAGAAACAATAACAATTGTCTAATACCTCAATAATTCTTCACAATTTCCAACAAATCATAGAATAAATCCAGTAATAGTTTTTTTTAAAATAATTTTAGTAAGCTTTTTCTTTTTCAGGTTAAAAATATGCCAATCCCAAGAATAACCAAGATAATCCCTAGAATAACTAAGACTATCCCCAGAATAACCAAGATAATCCCCAGAATAACCAAGACAATCTAAAACAACAAGGACGTTCCTAGTACTAGCGAGTAAAGAGGCGAACCCTTTGTTGCCCCTCCCACGTGTCAATCATTGCCCACTGCAATTAAGGGCTTGCTTTTCTTAACCCAAATTAATTTTTTTTACCAATCTCATTCAGATTTGAAGTAAGTCCTCCCCTCCCCCCCCCACCCCCCAAACATGTGTGGACACCCCTGCATTGGCTAATGACATAGACTATAGATCATAGAGAATAGAAACTACTTACATTGGAGTCACTAGCATAGTCATAGAGTGTTAATGCTTTGCTGTAGTTAAGGGCTCTTAGTGTGCGGTCTTGGGACCTTACCAATACCGTGCTGTAGTTACTGGAAGATAAAAAATGAGACATCATAGATTAAAGTTTGAGACTTTTAAAGAGAGCATGCCAATAATGTCAATCAAGCCTATCAATAATTCAAAACTCTTCAATATATTGAACATGTCGATGACGTCGTCAGATGAATGTAGAATATAAACTACAACTAAAACATGGCATAAGTAAAGACATAATTAGATTAGAAGGCATCAAATGACGTCATCCAACTCACGTTGGTACAAAGGCATCTTCCCGAGCTGGACTCTCAGAACCAATCAACCGTGTCCAGGAATAGCGGGTGCCCTCTTGGTGACGATTAGAGTGCCCTGATAGGCCGCCCAATTCCTCAGAACTGGCACCACTTCTGTTTTTCCCGCCTCGTAGACTCTACAAAATCAAGATGTGAACATTTCAGCTGGTTTAAACGCTAGTGATGTCTGAAATAGGTTATCATTTGGTCAACTAGCGACCAGATCACGACGTCCTCTGAGGTCAACTAGCGACCAGATCACGACGTCCTCTGAGGTCAACTAGCGACCAGATCACGAAGTCCTCTGAGGTCAACTAGCGACCAGATCACGACGTCCTCTGAGGTCAACTAGCGACCAGATCACGACGTCCTCTGAGGTCAACTAGCGACCAGATCACGACGTCCTCTGAGGTCAACTAGCGACCAGATCACGACGTCCTCTGTGCTAGATGACAATAGGACCAATTACCTTTTTTTCCCTTGCTTACATTGCTCAACAATTATTTCAATCTAGATGCCCCAAATGTTTTCTAAAATTGTAGAAGTTGAGCAGCAGCGCTTAACTAGGTAGAGGGTTGGGGGGGGGGGGGTGAGCGCTAGTCCCCTCCGATGAAGAACGAGATCCAGAGTTGCCCGTCTATATATAGATTTATTTCGTCTTGATATAGATTAATTTCGTCTATATAAAAGTTTATTTCGTCTTGATAGAGATTAATTTCGTCTATATATAGATTTATTTCGTCTTGATATAGATTAATTTCGTCTATATATAGAATTATTTCGACTTATATAGATTAATTTCGTCTATATATAGATTTATTTCGTCTTTTAGTAGATTAATTTTGTATGTATATATAGTTCATAGTGCCTTGTAGAGAATCTTTTCATTTTTTAAAAAATTGTTAAATCCAGTTAGTCGGCCTATATCATGCTACAAATATGGTAAAGTTTGCTTGTGGTCACCCATCACGTGTAAGCACACATTTAAATGACGTCATATTTGGTAAAGATATTTGTGACGACGCTCTATTTTATTTTCGCAGAACGATGTGCTCTTAAACGAAGGCTTCTGATGCCATCACAAGATTATATTAAAAACTAGCAGAGGCGTCGCCTTCGGTGGTATTTGCTCTTACTTGATTTAATATTAGTGTTTTATGATTTATATAAAGCTTGTGGTGAATTTTATTGAATCACTCACCACAACTATGACTATTTGGTCAAAATGAGTCCACCCTGGCCTAGGAATGATTCTTCAATAATGATACATTTAACAACGTCCAGACGTCAAGTAAATTAACACTCAACACAATGCACTGAGCAAGGCTATCTCATGCACCGTGCACAGGAAAGACATTTTGGTGCACCAATAAAAAATTGCATCAAACGTCCATGAGCGACCCAGCTGTAGCTAAAGATCGTGATCTTGATGATCTTGTTCATTTGTATACCGGTAGCTCTAATTAGGAAAAACACCAAGGTGTAGCTCCGGCAGCAAGGCAGTTCATATGGTCGACCAGATTTCCCTTTCCACTAAAATGCAGGAACTGTTCCTTTTGGCCCATACTGTATGACAGATATGTGTCTATGGACACACTTTTAGCACTTCGACCCAGACAGCATTTCAAAACAATCAGAAACTATTACAGCTATACATTTTAATGAGAAATTGTAATCTATGGAAGAATATGATTCAGAACTATATATAGAATATATAAGACATAATTTAAACAGTTGTGTGTAAAAGGACTAGCAGACAAAAGTATACAATGACTAGCAGACAAATGTATACAATGACTTGCAGACAACAGTATACAATGACATTAAGTTGAACTAGACTCTAATACTTTGGTAGAACTATGCAATTCTACAAAGATGCACATTTAAAATAGCAGGTTTAAGATCAAACTCACTTTTCCTCCTTTGGCCTGGGTCACGACTGCAATGACCAACACGACGGCTGCGGTAATGATTAGTTTCATCTTCGGCTGCTTGGGATTCTCTGTCTATGGTTGTTGCCACGCGTCGCTGGCCCTTAAATACCAGCACGTCTTCGACCCCTGCACGATTCACGTCACACTTCATTGATTACGTCGCACTACCCTTCCACTATACACCCGCCCCGTGCGTCATGAGCCTGAGCCCGGCACCACAACAACACTGTTGTATTGATTACAATGAAAGGTTTGTGTCTAACCCTAACCCATTTTGATCAGTGCTCAACAATTCTCAATGAATTGCTGGTTGTGTATCATAGTTATCCTGTGGGAGCTCATTGATTATATACACATCAGCGCTCATACCATCAGATGGTGGTTGTGTATCATAGTTATCCTGTGGGAGCTCGTTGATTATATACACATCAGCGCTCATACCATCAGATGGTGGTTGTGTATCATAGTTATCCTGTGGGAGCTCATTGTTTATATACACATCACCGCTCATACCATCAAATGGTGGAGTAAATACACATCACCAGCCATACCATCGGTAGTGGTTTAGAGACACATCACCACCCATACCATTAGATGGTGGTTTAAATACACATTACCAGCCATACCCTCAGATGGTGGTTATTATATTGTCGTGTGTTAACTTAGAGTAATGTGTACCATGTAGGCATGTTTGTGATTTCACACTTGACATGATCGACATGAGACATACATGGGACATTCATAGGACATACATGGGACATACATGGGACATACATGGGACATACATGGGACATACATGGGACATACATGGGACATACATAAGACATACATGGGACATTCATAATGTAATAGTGGGGGCCAAGTTTTAATAATGTATCTACAGTTATAGTGGGAGCCAAGTTTTCAACAACATTTCTACAGTAATATTGGGAGCCATGTTTTCAATAATATTTCTACAGTACTAGTGGGGGCCAAGTATTCAACAATATTTCTACAGTAAAGGTGGGAGCCATGTTTTCAACAATATTTCTACAGTAAAGGTGGGGGCCAAGTATTCAACAATCTGTATAAAGTATAATTGTTCAATGCTTGTGGGAGCCATGGTTGACCTTTGAGCCTTTGTTGGGCGTGTATCCAAGCATCGCTATAGGGTGTAGCAAACTGAGTTGGACGTTTAGAACTTTTTGATTCACTAATCCACTAATCTCTTAATCCTCTCCTAGTAATGCAAGCTGGACAAGTTATTAATATATGTCCACGCCCTGGAAGCTATTTTGATGTGTCACGTGAGATGTAGAAGTGGATTTATCTGCTTTTTTGTGTGTGTTCCATATCTATTGAAATATACGTGCACATAGATTAATTGTGCTTACTGCATAACATTGATGTATGTGTGTGTTTCAATTAATTGTTTTTGTTACATAACATTGATGTATGTGTGTGTATCAATTAATTGTTTTTGTTACATAACATTGATATATGTGTGTGTATAAATTAATTGTTTTTGTTACATAACATTGATATATGTGTGTGTATAAATTAATTGTTTTTGTTACATAACATTGATATATGTGTGTATAAATTAATTGTTTTTGTTACATAACATTGATATATGTGTGTGTATAAATTAATTGTTTTTGTTACATAACATTGATATATGTGTGTGTAGCAATTACTTGTTTTTGTTACATAACGTTGATTCCGTGTTAATGACACAATGTTACAGACCAGGATGGGTCAAGGAATTGGAATAAGCTTTGTCTTGTAAAAAGGGCTAGGTCAAGACTTTACATACTATTTTAGACCAGAGTAGTTGAAGTTTTTGTGCAGACAAGGACCAGAATGTGTACAGACTGGGTCTAGTATTTTGACAGACTATGTCCAGTATGTGTATAGACTAGGTCCAGTATGTGTACAGTCTAGGTCCAGTATGTGTACAAACTAGGTCCAGAATGTGGACATACTAGGTCTAGTATGTGTACAGGCTAGATCCAGTATGTGCACAGACTAGGTCCAGTATGTTTACAGATTGTGTCCATTTTGTGTACAGAATAGGTATAGTATGTATATAGACTAGGTCCAGTATGTGTACAGTCTAGGTCCAGTATGTTTACAGGCTTGGCCCACTATTTTTACAAACTAGGTCCATTATGTGTACAGACTAAGTTCAGTATGTTTACAGACTATGTCCAGTATGTGTACAGACTAGGTCCAGTATGTGTACAGTCTAGGTCCAGTATGTGTACAGTCTAGGTCCAGTATGTGTACAGACTAGGTCCAGTATGTGTGCAGACTAGTTCCAGTGTCCTTACAATCTAAGTCTTTAAGTTTTAGAAGAGTCATTTGCTACACGTAGTCACTACTACCATAGTGGAAATGAAGAAATAAATCTCCGTTGCCAGGTGCAAGGTTCAAAGTTCAAGATTGAGGATGTTAATAACAAGATATTTTTACCGTATTCTCTAAAGTTCCACAAATATTTTTGTTCTTGTTATGTCATGAATTCATGACTCACGACAACGAGCGGGTCAACTTCAGTAACTTGCCGGAGCTTAATCTGGGACATTGATATGCATTGCTTCACATGTATACAAGGCTCTGGTATTGAAAACAAGTCAAGCGCAACGAGCGAGACGCCAGCTTTGAATAGGAAGCGTGATGTCATTGTGATCACATGCTCGTGTTGTACGGTTCAGCTGGTCACGAACTGGTCGTCTCTCCAATACTTTGACACTGGCAACACAAGTGGGACACAGAAGAAGATGAGGTTGTCAACATATTTGTCAAAAATAATAAAACAATATTGACGTCATAATTTGAGATGACCAACAATGTTATGAATATTCAATGTTAACATCTTCTATACTTAGCCAGGCGATGTTGGGCGTCACTCAATCTTTGAGTAAACCCTAACACGTCCCCATACTTGCACTTTTGATCGGCATTTAATAAAATAAATAAAATACAAAAAAATTAAAATCGACATATGTTATACGTGACCTATCACAGGCTACCTGGCCTACTTCTGGCTACCTTACCTATCTCAGGCTACATGAGCTTTCTCTGGCTACATGTCTATCTCTGGCTACATTACCATTAGGCTACATAGCTTGTATCTCTTTGGCATATCTCTAGCTACATGACTTATCTTTAGCTGCATGACCTATGTCTAACTAAATTATTATCTATCCCTGGATACATGAGTTTTATCTGGCTACATAAATATTAAATATCACTGGCTACATGACTATCTCTGCTACATGACTTCGCTGGCTACATAAATATCACTGACTACATGACTATCTCTGGCTACATGAATATCTCTGAATACATGACTATCTCTGGCTACATTTTTATCTCTGACTACATGACTATTTCTGGATACATGACTATCTCTGACTACATGACTATTTCTCGCTACATGATTATGCCTGACTATATTTCTGGCTACATGATTATCTCTCGCAACATGACTATCTTTAGCTACATGACTATCTCTGACTACATGACTATCTCTGGCTACATGACTATCTCTGGGTACAGACTATCTCTGGCTACATGTCTATCTCTGGCTACATGTTTATCTCTGGCTACATGTTTATCTCTGACTACAGGATTATCTCTCGCAACATGACCTCTGGCTACACAGCTTATAATAATTTATTTGGCCTATATTTGGCTACACAACCTATCTCTGACTACATGAGCTATCTCTTGCTACATTTCCATCCTCTGGCTTCTCGAGTTATCTCTGGATTTATGACATTTTTCAGGCTACGTGACAAATGAATGGCTACACAATGGTTATTTCGGAAATTATTGAATATAATCTAATAATAATAATAATTAGTGGTCTTTTATAGCGCGGTACCTCAGCCTAGGGCTGGGCTCACCGCGCTGTACATAAAAATATTATCAAAAAGACATAATCATGAACTTAGTATCAAATAATCCAGGGGTCTTTCAACTTTTCAGCCAGAGGGCCGCATTAACTATCAAACAACAGTTAGGGGGCCGACTTCACACCCGAGGTCCACAAAATAATCTAAACATGGATGCTGTTTTTAATTATTTATGTAACATTATTCAACTCTGTTATTATTTAATAACACATTGATACACGACACATGAACACCTGTATTAGTGGGAATGGTGAACTTGTTTCCTTGATGCCAAAATGGCAGTGATTAGCAGACATTTTTGGATTTAGAATGATGTCCCTAACATCAACAGTGACCTGAGATGATCATCGGACAAATTTGTTTTCAAATTCTTCTCCGCGTATTCTTTTTCTTGAATGTTTGTTCACACAGGTAAGTTGTTCCGAAGATTGAAAGGTACCTTGATACAAAAGTTTTGAAATAAGGAAAGTCTTCCTTGGGCGAAAACCGGTTTAAAAAAACCGTTAGCCCTTCTTTGAACTTGTCCCTAAGGAGGTCATTTACTTGCACTCAATGACCTCCAGGTGGCTTTCATCTGGGCGACGGGCCACATCTGCTTTAAATGGGTTTTGAAAAAGTCTCACTTCTTCTGCCTTTGAATCCAAATCAGAAAACCGCTGCTGAAACTCTAGCTGTGTGGTCTTTGATGATCTTGCATGCAAATGACGTGGGGAACCTCGTAGTTGCTTCAGCAATGAAGCCGCCCACTGCTGAAAGTGTGTCAAGTTTTTGGCCTGTACTTGTTCCAAAAAACAAGAAGAGTTTGGATCTGAAGGCCTTTCTGTGGGTGTATGGATCAGAAACTTGATTTTCCTCTCCTTGTGGTTTTAAGTTCAGAAAATTTAATGGACTAATTATATCTGCAGCAATGGCCTATTTCCACCCCCCCCCCCCCACTCTTCATCAGACAGTAATGGCTGTGGCCTTGCCTTTACTTTCCCAGGAAGTCACCTATTTCCTTTCTTAACTTAAATACTCTGCTCAGAACTTTCTCACAAATTCGTCATCTTATTGCTGTGTAATATGGTAAATCTTGCGATTCTGTGTCTGTGTCTTTCAACACGTCTTTGAACTTACTATGGTTGAGCCCATGTGACAATAATAATAATAATAATAATAAAGTTCATTTCAAAAACACGCTTCATCCCCAAAGGCTCGAAGCGCGGTACAAAGTCAACAAAAAACAAATCTATAGTTTACCACATTTAAAATAAACGCAACACGACAAAAACTAAGTACAAGCATACAATGTCAAAGTCTTTCTAGCCATTTCAACCATAAGCAACACAGCCATTATGCCTTAACTGGAAAATAATGTTGACAATATTAAATTAACCCTCTTCACCACAGGATTCAGTACACTGCTAATGTCCACATATTTAGCACACAAAGCTTGCTGGTGAATAATACAGTGCATGAACATTGCATACTCTTTTTCTCATTACACATCTGCTTCACTTGTCCAACCAAGCCTTACTTTATGCCACTCATGTTCTTTCCTCCGTCAACAGTCAAGCAACTGAGGTTAGTCCAGTCCAAGTTACAAGCAGCAAATATTTAAATCAACCCATCGGTAACGGTTCCGTACATGCTATTTGGGAAGCCAGCTCTTGTGTTATGTTCATGTCTTCATCCACACACCCCTACCGAACACAAGCAGTTGAGAGGTGGAACAGCTGTCCAGCGATTCGTCCATTGCTATTAAAAATTGGTGAAACTTTTTGCATTTTTCGCTTTTTGAGTCACAATGTTTTCAACCATGTCTGCAACATGGCAGGCAAAGCTCCGCCACTAGATGGCGTTATATATTCTCAGTTCATTGACGGTAAACGGAAGTAGAAAAACGAAACAGCGAATAAGGTTATGCCAAGTAATAACGATATGACCAACTTGTGATTCACTGGATGATTGGCCGATATGACGGCTCGTGTGTTACAAATTTGTTAAACTTTTAGAGACCGACTTTCTTTCCAAATATTTAGACTTTCAATGGAATTTTAAAATTTTGTCCACATGAAAACTGTTAGCCTCTTATTATATGCCTACCAAAGCTGTGCTCTCTCACTCTCTCTCTCGCTCTCTCTCGCTCTCTCTCGCTCTCTCTCGCTCTCTCTCTCTCTCTCTCTTTCTATTTACATCGCTCTAAGTCTAACGTTTATCTGCCTCTCTCTGTATCTTTCTCCGCCTTTCTCTCTCTCTCTTTTCTCGCAGTCTCTCTATGTGGACATGCCTCCAATCATCCACCTTTCTCTCACTTTTTCCTACTCTTGGAACCCGGTTATAGAAAACTGCAATCAAGTGAGGCTATGTGTTTGTATATCCCTTGTGGAACCCCGCTATTGAATATTGTAACAGAGTGATCCTATGTTTTTGTATATTACTTTTGGAACCCGGCTATTGAACATTGTGATTAGAATAATCTTGCCAGCCTAATCAATATTTATGGAACCACCTCTAGTGGTAAGTCTTATCGACATGGACAGATCGTGTGCAACTCTGTATTGGAACTGGCAGTAGGCCATGATGACGTCAACACTGTCAGAAATTTGGATGATCCAGTCAATAGCTTTAGTGCAGGGGGTCTCAACATGCGGCCAGCAAGACGCTATTTTGCGGCCCGCCGCATGACAGCAAAGTTTAGTGTAATGCGGCCCGCGAGTTTTCCCCATTCTCATCTCTATAATGTGACCCTCCGCGACCGTTTCAGTCGAATCTCACCGACCGGTCTAATTCTGATTTTTATTATGTTTGTATAGATTTGGACGTTGATTACAATGGTAAAATCCTTTTGAAACTGATTAAATTTTGTTATTTTGTAGCATTTTATGAAACAAACATGGCGGCCAAAGTGCGGTTTTGAGAAACGTTTAAAATTTCAGTTAGTGGGTAATGCACAACCAAATTTGTGTAAATCGTGGCAACCTGACACAGTATCAAAGAATTTCTATTACAATTGCCGCTAGTGTTGACGAGTGGGGGAAATTCCAAGCAAGTCAGCTTGGTTCAATTTCCAAATAGGGTTCACTAAAATGTCATTTTCTACGATAAAAAGAAACAAAACCATTCTCCCTACAATGGCATCTTCCTTCGCATCAAGAATTCATCAATATTGCCCGCCTTGGCCGACTGTTTGAGCACGTTTTAGCATTGAAAGCCTTCATGGAGAAGGATGGAGTGGCTTTTCCTGTATTCAGTGCTCCTAAATGGCTCATGCACTTGGCTTTTCTTGTTGACATTACACAGGAGCTGAATGTACTCAACAAGAAGTTACAAGACCAGGGGTCAGTGTTGCCTATGACAATGTCAGTCCAAAAGCAAATGAATTAGTAAGAAACATAACTATTTGATTTTTTCTTTCTCTCTCTCTCTCTCTCTCTCTCTCACTCTCTCTCTCTCTATCTCTCTCTCTCTCTCTCTCTCTCTCTCTCTCTCTGCTTGTGTGTTTATTTCTCTTGCTGTTAGGTTGTGCTGTGTGTGTTGTGTACATCGCCGTGTCTGGTAAGATTGAGTCATTTTTATATACATCCGATCGCCCAGAGTTTTTAATTTTGTTTAAATTGACATGCGAGCCTAATGTTACCACGTTTGATTAAAACACTACTCAGGATGCACATCTTATTCTAACACTACTCAGGATGCACATCTTATTCTAACACTACTCAGGATGCACATCTTATTCTAACACTACTCAGGATGCACATCTTATTCTAACACTACTCAGTATGCACATTTTATTCTAACACTACTCAGGATGCACATCTTATTCTAACACTACTCAGGATGCACATCTTATTCTAACACTACTCAGGATGCACATCTTATTCTAACACTACTCAGGATGCACATCTTATTCTAACACTACTCAGGATGCACATCTTATTCTAACACTACTCAGGATTCACAACGAATATTTTTAAAGAATCCACGAGGTGACATTGTTGCCATGGCAACCATGGTTACAGTTTCGTAAACTTTCATACATTGAATTCCCTATGTTTCTAAATTTAGATTCCATATCGTTCCTGAGGTCAAGCTGACCAAATTATCAACGTAGAGAACTGTGGTTGTTTGTAACATGGTTTATGCGTGTAAGCTGTACGAAAGGTATTACATGTGTCCAAGCTGTTTTGTACGAAAGGTATTATATGTGAACAAGCTGTTTTGTACGAAAGGTATTATATGTGAACAAGCTGTTTTGTACGAAAGGTATTACATGTGTCCAAGCTGTTTTGTACGAAAGGTATTATATGTGAACAAGCCTGTTCACCTTAAACAACAAATACTAAAGCAGTTTAAACCTATTTCTAAACAATTAAACAAATAACAAGGAAATAAGTGCACACATGTGTATTAATTATAATTTAAGAATAAGTTATAATGTAAGAATAAGTTATAATTTAAGAATAAGTTATAATGTAAGAATAAGTTATAATTTAAGAATAAGTTATAATGTAAGAATAAGTTTTAATGCTTATCATTACAGTAGACTAACTTTGCGTCATGCAAACAAAGAAATACAGGTGAAAAAAATAGAGTAGGAAGTTTTTAGATCTTAGGACATGAACTACGGATTGGTTGATGGCCAAAGTTTTGACAGGTCAAAATCGTCACTTGAATGAAATAAGGGAGATAGCAAGGCAATTTTTTTTTACAAAAGATCAATAGTACTTGTCAAACTTCAATAGTACTTGTCAAACATCAATAGTACTTGTCAAACTTCAATAGTACTTATCAAACATCAATAGTACTTGTCAAACTTCAATAGTACTTGTCAAACTTCAATAGTACTTGTCAAACTTTAATAGTACTTGTCAAAGTTTAACAGTACTTGTCAAACTTCATAGTACTTGTCAAACTTCAATAGCACTTGTCAAACTTTAATAGCACTTGTCAAACTTCAATGGCACTTGTCAAACTTTAATAGCACTTGTCAAACTTCAATAGCACTTGTCAAACTTTAATAGCACTTGTCAAACTTCAATAGCACTTGTCAAACTTCATAGTACTTGTCAAACTTAAGAGATTTTTATGTTGTTTAAAGTAAGGATTTTTGTTGTTTTGATTTGTTTCTTTGTTATTGTTTCTCTTTGTCTGCTTACAATTTTAATTTTAAGTTTGATCAACGATGCGAAGCTAATAAACTATATCATTCTATGATTAATAATCAGCCATTAAAGTTAAAGTCATGATAACTGTCTTTTTTCATCCTCAAAAATTTTTTTTCTGACCTACAACGAATAAATTCTGTCAAGGAAGAGGAAATCTCAGACAACGCATTGCTTTGAATGTTCTTGTCATGGAAGAGGAAATCTTAAACAACGCATTGCTTTGAATTTTCTTGTCATTCTTTTTTCAGGTGAAGTCAGTGTATGCTCTGGATAGTCAGTGGCGAGAAACAGTTACTGACTGCCGCTAGGGTTGGGTGTGGTAGTGATGTTCTGGGTGTCGACCTGGTTGTCGGATGGTCTCTGTCCGAATCCTGGTCTGCGTCCTTGACGTCCTTGGTTAAAGTTACGTGGTGGGCGTGCCCGAGTCTTGATGTTAATTTGAGTATCCAGGGCCAGGACAGACAGGGTCTCAGTCGGACCAGTGTAGCTGTTAGTGCCTTCTGGGAAAGCATACATACATATTGGAGTATAGAATTAGATGGAGGAATAATACAAACATTGTGGAGTAGAAGCTATAGCCCACGTAAACCTCAAACATGCCCACTCCGCTATTTAACCCAAGACTCCATAGATTAATAATCAACTTAATCTTATCACGCCTCATAATCTTCTTTTTTTCCCACAACCCAAAGCCACCTACTCTAAGTCACTTGCCCCAAGTCACCTACTCTACGTCACTCGCCCCAAGTAACCTACTTTACGTCACTCACCCCAAGTAACCTACTCTACGTCACTCACCCCAAGTCACCTACTCTACGTCACTCGCCCCAAGTAACCTACTTTACGTCACTCACCCCAAGTCACCTACTCTACGTCACTCACCCCAAGTCACCTGCTCTACGTCACTCACCCCAAGTCACCTACTCTACGTCACTCACCCCAAGTCCCCTACTCTACGTCACTCACCCCAAGTCACCTGCTCTACGTCACTTACCCCAAGTCACCTGCTCTACGTCACTTACCCCAAGTCACCTACTCTACGTCACTCACCCCAAGTCACCTACTCTACGTCGCTCACCCCAAGTCACCGACTTTACTTCACTCACCCCAAGTCACCTACTTTACGTCACTCGCCCCAAGTAACCTACTTTACGTCACTCACCCCAAGTAACCTACTCTACGTCACTCGCCCTAAGTAACCTACTCTACGTCACTCGCCCCAAGTCACCGACTTTACTTCACTCGCCCCAAGTCACCGACTTTACTTCACTCACCCCAAGTCACTTACTCTACGTCACTCACCCCAAGTCACCGACTTTACTTCACTCACCCAAAGACACCTACTTTACTTCACTCATCCTAAGTCACCTACTCTACGTCACTCACCCCAAGTCACCTGCTCTACGTCACTCACCCCAAGTCACCGACTTTACTTCACTCACCCCAAGTCACCTACTCTACGTCACTCACCCCAAGTCACCTACTCTACGTCACTCACCCCAAGTCACCGACTTTACTTCACTCACCCCAAGTCACCTACTCTACGTCACTCACCCCAAGTCACCTACTCTACGTCACTCACCCCAAGTCACCTACTCTACGTCACTCACCCCAAGTCACCGACTTTACTTCACTCGCCCCAAGTCACCTACTCTACGTCACTCGCCCCAAGTCACCTACTCTACGTCACTCACCCCAAGTCACCTACTCTACGTCACTCACCCCAAGTCACCTACTCTACGTCACTCACCCCAAGTCACCTACTCTACGTCACTCACCCCAAGTCACCTACTCTACGTCACTCACCCCAAGTCACCTACTCTACGTCACTCACCCCAAGTCACCTACTCTACGTCACTCACCCCAAGTCACCTACTCTACGTCACTCACCCCAAGTCACCTGCTCTACGTCACTCACCCCAAGTCACCTACTTTACGTCACTCGCCCCAAGTAACCTACTTTACGTCACTCACCCCAAGTAACCTACTCTACGTCACTCGCCCCAAGTAACCTACTCTACGTCACTCGCCCCAAGTCACCGACTTTACTTCACTCGCCCCAAGTCACCGACTTTACTTCACTCACCCCAAGTCACCTACTCTACGTCACTCACCCCAAGTCACCGACTTTACTTCACTCACCCCAAGTCACCTACTCTACGTCACTCACCCCAAGTCACCGACTTTACTTCACTCACCCCAAGTCACCTACTCTACGTCACTCACCCCAAGTCACCTACTCTACGTCGCTCACCCCAAGTCACCGACTTTACTTCACTCACCCCAATTCACCTACTCTACGTCACTCACCCCAAGTCACCGACTTTACTTCACTCGCCCCAAGTCACCGACTTTACTTCACTCACCCCAAGTCACCGACTTTACTTCACTCGCCCCAAGTCACCTACTCTACGTCACTCACCCCAAGTCACCTACTCTACGTCACTCACCCCAAGTCACCTGCTCTACGTCACTCACCCCAAGTCACCTACTCTACGTCACTCACCCCAAGTCACCTACTCTACGTCACTCACCCCAAGTCACCTACTTTACTTCACTCACCCCAAGTCACCTACTTTACTTCACTCACCCCAAGTCACCTTCTCTACGTCACTCACCCCAATTCACCTACTCTACGTCACTCACCCCAAGTCACCGACTTTACTTCACTCACCCCAAGTCACCTACTTTACTTCACTCACCCCAAGTCACCTACTTTACGTCACTCGCTCCTAGTTACCTCCCTCTGTTACTGTAAAAACTAATCAAACATCTGCTAGTTACCTCCCTCTGGTCCTGTGGGATAATCTAACATCTGCTAGTTACTTCCCTCTATTACTGTAAGAACTAATAAAACATCTGCTTATTACCTCCCTCTGTTACTTTAAATCTAATAAAACATCTGCTAGTTACCTCCCTCTGTTACTGTAAGAACCAATAAAACATCTGCTAGTTACCTCTCCCTATTACTGTAAGAACTAATAAAACATCTGCTGGTTACCCCCCTTTTGGTCCTGTGGGACAATCTAACATCTGCTAGTTACCTCCCTCTATTGCTGTAAGATCTAATAAAACATCTGCTAGTTACCTATCTCTATTACTGTAAGAACTAATAAAACATCTGCTAGTTACCTCCCCGTTACTGTAAGAACTAATTCTCAAACCAAACAGCTGGTGGTCTGGAGTTCAATCCCCACCAAAAGCAAATCATCCCAAGCACCCCGGGTAGATGGGACTCGCTAGCCTTGGACGGCAACCCATCTAAGAGAAGGCAAACTCTGAATTTAAACCAGGAGCCAGAATGATCAACAAATTGATCGTGGGCACCTCAAATATAAGAAGACATCTGCGAGCTACATTCCTTTTACTATAAAAACTAATAAAATATCTGCTAGTTACCTCCCTCTGTTACTGCAGGGAGAATTATAATATCTCCTAGTTATCTTCCCCTGTTCCTGTAAGAACTAATATAACATGCGCTAGTTACCTCCCTCTGTTACTGTAGGGACAACTCGTCCATCTCGGCATGCACGTCGTAGGGCGGGGTTAGCTTCAAACAAAGGAACAACTTGGTTCAATGGCAGGATGTCAGATGTGCCATCGAGGTTCACTTCAGTGATGGTACTCACAGTCGATCCCTGGTGGGGAATAGCATTGATAGATTATGTGGAGGAATAGATTATGCTGTAGATGGATTTGTTGGGGTGGGGGGATACATTATTCCATCCATTGATTGATTGATTTGTTGTAGAGAGGGGATTACATTAAATAAATAGTCGGCGAGGTCGATACATGATGGCAGTGTGAGAAAAAAATTCTAATTTCTTAATTATGGGCAATGGTCAAGTTGTTTGGGGGTGATGTTGTTAGGGTGATGTTGTTAGGGTGATGTTGTTAGGGTGATGTTGTTAGGGTGATGTTGTTAGGGTGATGTTTTTAGGGTGATGTTGTTACGCTGATGTTGGTAGGTAAATGTTTTTAGGTAGATGTTGTTAAGCTGATGTTGTTATACTTATGTTATTCCGCTGATGTTGTTAGGGTGATGTTGTGACGCTGATGTTGTTAGGTAGATGTTGTTATACTGATGTTGTAAGACTGATGTTGTTAGGGTGATGTTGTTAGGGTGATGTTGTTAGGGTGATGTTGTTAGACTGATGTTGTTAGACTGATGTTGTTAGACTGATGTTGTTAGACTGATGTTGTTAGACTGATGTTGTTAGACTGATGTTGTTAGGGTGATGTTGTTAGGGTGATGTTGTTAGGGTGATGTTGTTAGGGTGATGTTGTTAGACTGATGTTGTTAGACTGATGTTGTTAGACTGATGTTGTTAGGGTGATGTTGTTAGACTGATGTTGTTAGGGTGATATTGTTAGACTGATGTTGTTAGACTGATGTTCTTAGGGTGATGTTGTTAGACTGATGTTGTTAGACTGATGTTGTTAGACTGATGTTGTTAGACTGATGTTGGTAGACTGATGTTGGTAGACTGATGTTGTTAGACTGATGTTGTTAGACTGATGTTGTTAGACTGATGTTGTTAGACTGATGTTGTTAGACTGATGTTGTTAGGGTGATGTTGTTAGGGTGATGTTGTTAGACTGATGTTGTTAGACTGATGTTGTTAGACTGATGTAGTTAGGGTGATGTTGTTAGACTGATGTTGTTAGACTGATGTTGTTAGACTGATGTTGTTAGACTGATGTTGTTAGACTGATTTTGTTAGACTCATGTTGTTAGACCGATGTTGTTAGGTAGATGTTGTTAGACTGATGTTGTTAGGTAGATGTTGTTAGACTGATGTTGTTAGGGTGATGTTGTTAGGGTGATGTTGTTAGACTGATGTTGTTAGACTGATGTTGTTAGGGTGATGTTGTTAGGGTGATGTTGTTAGACTGATGTTGTTAGACTGATGTTGTTAGACTGATGTTGTTAGACTGATGTAGCTAACAATCACTTACATCCCTGATAGCCAACAATCACTTACATCCCTGGTAGCCAAAAATCACTTACATCCCTGGTAGCTAACAATCACTTACATCCCTGGTAGCTAACAATCACTTACATCCCTGGTAGCTAACAATCACTTACATCCCTGGTAGCTAACAATCACTTACATCCCTGGTAGCTAACAATCACTTACATCCCTGGTAGCTAACAATCACTTACATCCCTGGTAGCTAACAATCACTTACATCCCTGGTAGCTAACAATCACTTACATCCCTGATAACCAGTTCATCTGTCATTTGTTGGAGCTAAAAATCACTTACGTTCCTGGTAATCAGTTCATCTATCATTTGTTGGTAGGTTAGGTTTGTCCTGGTCAGGAAGCATGGGCCGAAACTACCAATGGCAACAAGCTGTAGAAAGAGGTCACGTGATTTGAAATAAGTTGCACAAAAACATTTGTATAACAAACGACTATCAAGTGTTCACCCACCTTTTTAGTGGTGAATGACGTCACAAAGGTATGTGTATGCAAAGCGTACTTTCTACCTGGTCTTATATTGACATATAATCAAATTTCTTTGTGCTACCCTCTGTTCAATTCCACGATGAAATAAAATTCCCTAAAAGTGCTGCAATAGCGTGCAAATGTGGGGCCAGTAGGCACGTCTCAAAGACTCTTTTTTAAAATGGAAGGTAATAAATTAAATAGTATTAATATGAATTAATATGAAAGTAAATTTAAGTTTTATAAGCAAGTCTTGTCGTATGTATTTTAACATTTTCTGTATTTGTATTTTAATGGGGGAGACATTAGGGGCGGGGGACTCATACTAATTTTCATTGTTTCTATAGAATAGTAGTTACTATCCTAGTGTCTCATTTGTATTTACTTAGTTTACATGTTTTAATAATTGTAAAGCGCTTAGAGCTTTATGATAAGCGCTATATAAAAATGCCTAAATAAATAAATAAATAAATTTC